GGCTTCGACAATGGCCAGCAAGGCTGTGATGGTGAGATGTGGTGGCCAGGGGACAAAGGAGATGTCTGGAGACTCACCACTGCAGGTGTGTGCCTGCCCCATCCTCCGCCAGCGGGGCGGGCTGCAAGAACTGGCCAATCGACTTCTTCTTCTCCTCGATAAAGCACATAATCGCGTCCTTGATCACGTACATGTAGAACTCGCGCACGAGCGAGTATTGGCGCACGGAGAGTAGGTCGTATATCTGCAGCGGCCAGAGCTAGGAGCGGGTGGCCCTTCCAGTTGACGATGCGGTCGCGCGGGTCCTCCATGATTGCCGCGAACGACTTGTCCTCGGCGTGGAACTGCGAGCTCGTCATCGGCGCCTTGGCGGATGTCCACGACTCGGCGTGCCAGTCCCCGTCATTGTGGTGCGAGGACCTCGAGCGGTGGGTGTCGTGCGTTATAGTGGGCGACACCAGCTTCATGTTGGGACTGTGCTGGTGGTCGAGTCGTCAGAGGGGGTAGATCGTGTGGTGGGCTAACAGGCCGCACCCCTGACAGAAAAGTCCCAGGACAGCTTGCACACCTTGAACGTTTGCGTTGGCGAGCACGAGGGAAGGAGAGTTGAAAATGTAAGGCTGTAATGTAGTCAGCATTCAGATGCGCGCAGTAATGCCGATGTTTCACTCACCTGGGTGGGGATCGTTCCTCACCTCCTGCTCGACGCGCGGCTCCTTGGCCTGGTCCTGTTCACGTCGTCTCGCGCGTCCTGGATCCATCGCTAGGGCCTAGGGTGACAGCACACCCGTATCGACGAGCACCCGAGGCTCGTGGTCGAGCATGTCTTGAGCTCAATGTCGATCCGCTGATTGTCCCGCAGATGGCCTTAGCGGAGCACCTGGAGCTAGGGTGATGTACATTAGTCGCATTTAAGTTGATATTGAAGTTCCATAGACTTACTTTGGTGTCACAATGGGGAGTGTCCGCGCTTGTTGACGGCATCGAGCTTCGTGCGGTCGTCAGACTCAGAGGGTGACAGGATGCATACATGAGCTATGGACTGGAGTACGCAACGAAGGAACCTACCGGAACAGGAAGTGTGACAGTGTAAGATGTCACACAAGCCGTGACTACCATTCCCTAAGACTCGATTAAGGACACAATGCTCCTATTTTTGGTGTAGGAAGGCTTAACTGAGGCCATATGGGCTGAAGAAAATATAAAAACTAGGGGTTGTATGGCAAGTAATGCCCAAATGGGCACTGGTGACATGTAGCCGTGACGTGACACTCGGCAATATCCGCTATGGGAATCCATGTGGCGCTGCCCGCGTCTGCCGAAACCACGACTATATCCCTAGCCGTACCACGAGAACTGCAGTGGGTGCACCACGACCAAATGGCCATGGAAGTAGATGTATATACTGTTCCCGTAGATACTTGAGCTCCTTCATTGTAGAGTAGTTACTAAAATGCAGCGGTTGCGACTAATAAGTACATATGACAAGTACCTCAGGTTCCGAGTACTGGGTAGCCACTTGCACTTGCAAGCATGTTGCCGTGCGTATTCGATTAAACCGCGAAAAATGAATTTATAGGTGACCTTCCAATTTTCTTCTCAGCAAGGGCAAACATTGACATAGCATCCAGAACGTTTGAGATGGACTGGAATTTGACGAATGCTGTTCGCCAGTGGCTAGGAGCCCAGTTGCATTCGTCTGGCAACATCAAGCTGTCAGCAACTACCACTGCCAGCCATTCAGGCGCATTACCTTTGTTCAGCTCGGACGGCGCCTTGTTTGCCTCGCATGCGCATGGTCGGTCGGCTTCACTGATTTGACGAGACCTCCGCTCGCTTCCTTGCTATCTCAACAGCAGTACTGAGGGCGGATTGTTACTCGGCGCCGCCGAAAGGAGAGGTCTTAATGACACCAGGGCAAAGTGACATCGATTTCGTTTCCAGAGGGTCATAGATGCTTCTGACCCTTGCAAGAGATATATATATATGTGAGTGGGGTCAACAAGGATCACCCTGCGGTACCTTCAGCTCACGATCCCTGTAATGTCAGAGACTTGACACAGCTATGGTCGGCCAGGAGGGCCTGCATCAGCAAATTGTCCCGCGGCTGGTAGTGGCTGGCGCATATTCCAGTTATTTTAGCATGTCTACAATCACATTACCAGCCGAATACCAGACTTGTATTTATGATAAGTGAAGCGCCTGCTGAGATACACTGACCCGAGGATTATCTTATCATTCTATATATATACCCTTAGCAACGAAGCAATCACCTGCGCCTGACTGATGCGCGTCGCCTCACGTGTTAAGTTCAACATGTCGGACTTTGAACTTGACTTAAAAGCGCGCCGCAGTTCGACTTCATCGCCAATCCCCTCTCTCCCTTGTATCACGACTACGTCCTCTCTACAGCTCTCACATGGCTAAGTCCTAACAGCGGCGCCTACGTTGCCTCTTGTACCTCTCCGCGGGTAAGTTCTTTTTGTGAACCCGCTGCCTCTCGTCGAACTCCCCCTGAGTACCTTCCTACAGCGCGTGCACGGCGCGACCTAGATGAGGCCCTCATCGTGTCTCGACGCGTCTCTGTTGCAGGTAAGCCATTTCTCTGCATTACTGTGTGCACATATTAATAGAGGTTCTTAGATTGCCGGAGGAGTCTGGGTCTTGCTCGCTAGGTGTGTCCCTCACATTTAGTGACTGAGCATTCTGATTACTAGTCATCCTGTATGCTGCCGGGTTCTATGCATACAGGATGACTAGTGCATTAGGTATGTCCCTAACATCTCACCTGTTGATATACCCTGATGTAGTTTGTTGTAGTGATATGGTTTGTTTTCTATTGATTAGGGTGGGGGTTGATTCCCGGATAGTATTGCATTGAGCATGTAGCCATAGCAAACCCTGTATTGTAGCTAGCCTGAGCAATCATATGTTGTACTGTGTCATCAGCCAATGTGTTGATTCTGTATTTCATTCTGGGATGTAGAATACCAAGCAAAACACAGCTGATAGTGTGATTATGGGTCAAAGCAAGCTGGCCTGAGCTTGCAATATGTGTAAGTCTGGTGCATATTGTACTTCTTGTGGGAGTCTTACAACATGTGCCATCTGAATATAATGGCTGGCCCAGCTGTCCACAAGTCTGGTACATATTGTAATACTGGTATTTATTTTAATTGATTATATGCGAATTATATTCAGACACCAGTTATGGGAAAATTTGCTGATGTGGGAGTGCATTCTGCCGTCTTTTGTAGTCACAGCGCTGCATCCTACCCCAAGAGAGGCTACACTTTATAGTGGACAAGGCAAATGCTAAAAATAAACACCCATCCTCCGCATGATGAACCACATCTTTGTGTTCTAGCTCAGGATGCAAGCATCTGCACAGCGATCACCGTGTCCCAGGATGTGGTGGATACTAGGTCATCTGGTAAGCTAAAAAACAATGCTCTGCCCCATTCTCTAACTGGCGCATGTCAACATAACACCCTCAGACACCGAGGAAGTCACTGAGATGCGGAGCACATTGCGCACCCAAGGCAGAAACCCGGCATCTATCGCGGCAGCTATGTGACCACCTGCAGCAGATAGACTTGTTAAACACTGCTTCGATCAATGATTGACATAGTGTAAGCAGTGCATGAACGCCTGACATGCCGTTCCTCGCGATTTGAATGACTTCTAAGCGTTGCTTTAAGCTATACCATTGGAAAGGAGGTCGATCAAAACAGAACTCTTTCTGTTGAGGCAATGGCCATCTTGCCAGTGCCGGCACCTTCGTGAGTCCCCTGAACCATTGACCCAGTTCCGAGTTTGAAAAGCACACCACTCTCAGATCCCGCAACGGTCCCGTGTAACTTCAGGCCATGTCCTTCAAAATAGTCATACTCTGTGTCACTAGGTTGATGGCTGGTGAACGGAGGAAGGCTGGTTAGGTATAAAATGCAGCAAGCAACGGGGAGTGACAGGTCAACACTCGGGACACCCCCGGCCAATCTCAGTGCAAGCATCCTTATAATGTTCCCCCTTGTACTTGCCATGTCCTTCACCATTGCCCTGACTCGCGTCTCAGGCGTCGCGGCGTCATCGATAACCGTCGTGAACAGCTGTGTGAGTGTGGCTTTGGTACTGGTTGATTGTCCACGCAGACTTACAAATTCCCGAAAGACTGACCGAGTCTGGTTCCACGAAGTCTAGGGTAGCTTCAGCCAGGTATACGGCGTCGACGCCAGGGCCAACACCGTCATCAACCAGCCGCCCGATGGCATCGGTGTTGCGGTCAACATCTACACTGGCTGCACCGACGACACCGCCACGTCCTGCACTACTGGCGGTGTCAACAACAACAGCGGCGCGTCCCCTTTCATCCGCGCGGAAGCCACCTTTGTGAGTTCATGAGTTGGGTGATGCGTCCCTGCCTGATATATAATCCGAAGACGGGAGCGTCAGTTAATTATGACATCTCCCTGCTCCATGGTTACAACCACGGCATGCAGAGTACGTTGATAAGCCTCAGGATCGTCTGACTCCCGAAACCGCAGACTCAGCACATGGTACAAGCCCTCCGGAGCTTATTCGACACAGCGCTCACACGCCTCTAGGCTTCTATGGGCTCTAAAGAACTGCTCTATTTAGCTCCGGACTTCCTAGCATCCTCGAGGCGTACACGGACCCATTCCGCGATTTATCTCCGCAAACAGGAGCTCCGGAGCGACTTAACCAACGCAACTTCTAGATGAATTAGCTCCGGGGCCGTGGGCACTTCTATCGAGGGGCATCATCCTCATGCCCACCCTCCAGCACTCACTCCCCCTCGTTTCCGTCAAGATACCGAAGGTGCGGACGCATACGAGTCACCATGAGGCCAGCATCAGTCAGCAAGCGGCCGGAGGTAATTAGCACGTGACCGGAGCATCACACGGAGTGATGGGACCGCTTGGGTCAGGTGGCGGAGCATCGAGGCGACCTATAGGGGCTGGAAAGAGCAAGTGGGAGCGCAAGAGAGTCGTATGGTGTATGGTATAGCGGCGGCAAGTGCTGAGCAATCCTGTGGGTAGCGGCGGTTATTTGTTATTTATCTCCGGACGGTCGCAAAGCCATTCCTGTAGTATAAATTGTACAAAGTAGTGTGTTAGGAAGCGATGTCCTAACTAGTCGTCTTGAGATAACTGGGCCACGTGCCAACAGTTATGTCGTCACTACCTCAGTAAGCGTACTGAAAGGTAGGTCTGGCCGGGCCAATGCCAACGGTCAAGTCAAGAGTCCAGGTAATCGCTGTATTCAACAGGAGGTTGAACTAAGGAATACATGGGTTTTCCTACAGTATATATAGTAACTGGTATAGGGGTTAATACCCAAAGAAGAGAACAATAAGAAAGGACGCGTAAGCCATCCTGTGAGAACGTAACTCAGAGAAATGAGAAATGAGAAATACAAGGGCGCTCATTGGTAGAAGGTGAGTCAAGGAAGATAACGTGTGAGAAGAAGATAGCGTCCATGGGAAGGTCTACTCGGAGAAAGGTACTTGTCCAATAGCAATGCTCGGAATGGAAATGGAATGAGATAAGCATAGGGAAAATCATAACA